GCCTAAATCCCTTGTCTTTCAACGCCTGCTTCTTTTGAAAGTTAATATGCCTCCACATTAATTATTACAACTCTACGGAGGAAAGAAGCCGTCAGTTGCTCGTCTCGTCACCAAGCTTTTATAAAATCGCGATGTCCATTACTGGGTTCACAACAGTCAGGCACTATCCCAACCCTGATAGACTCGAATTTAGTATACATATTCACGCCTCTTTCTTTAATATCCTTTTTAATATTAACTTCCTTTCTACACCTACCGCTAGGACCCTCAGCTTGCCCCGTTTCTTTAGCCTTTGTTGCGTGTTTTTTCTTTCTATTTGCGCAATACATATGCCCTTCATCTCCTACAGGTGCATAACCAAAATCATATTTCGTGGACGATGAAAATTACGGAACTCTTCAGCTATCATTTCTGCACTCTTTGGCCCAAAAATTTTCCCCAGAACTTTCCTCAAAAAGGTCATAAATTCGTTCTCCCATCCCAGTGAGAGGCCATGTTTCACAGACATATGCAACAACATGCAAAATTAGAATTTCATTTAACTTTACCTGCTAAATTCCGGCAGGAACAAAAATGTAAGATTTGAGGCTTTCACGGCGGTGACTATGAAGAAAGCAGTCTTCTGGGATTTGGCACCGTGTATATGTGGTGTTAACTGACGTTTCGGAGGAACGTATCGCCTCCATCTTCAGGGTAGAAGAAAAAATATAAGAATTCTGCAAGCGAAGAGACCATGAGAACGGGTAAAAGCAGACTGTGCCTGCACAGGCGATACTTTCCTCCGAAACGTCAGTTAACACCACATATACACGGTGCCAAAATCCCAGAAGACTGCTTTCTTCAGGAACAAAAATGTTCTCTCCTTGACATCTTCGAGACCGACTGTGAGGCCAACCAAGCTATCGGGAGCTCTTTTACGGTGGAAAAACGGCCGTAGCATGGATCTGACCACTCACCTTAGTCTAATGCACACTTTAAAAACACGTTGATCTGCACCGCCCCCCCACATGTATCCCAACCTGGGGATTCACTATGTAAGCCTAACGACAAATTTACTTTCAGCTTTGTAGGTTTGGTAGATCACATATCCCCCCTATGCCTATGGAGATTTACTGGCACGAAACTGGTCCGATGTAAAACAGAGCGTATAGGAGTCATGACGTTCAACACTTAATTCATTTTCTGTGTGGACTGCTTAACGACACTGTCATTAGCCTCAGGTCATAGAGCGATTACGAAAATACGGATGGGAAAGGATGTGGCGATGATATGGCCGCAGCTGAATTTGAAGCAGTTGCCAGATGAGACTTAGGAAAATCACTGCAAGGTCAGTCAGGATAGTTTGTGACGTGCGTGAACCGGGCACCTTGCTTCTTGCGACAACTTGCTGAATAATATTGAACACTGTTTGCGGCACAACTATTGCTAGCAGCAGCAACATGAATTGGCCTCGATCTATAATTGAGGGATCATATTTCTTCCTCATTCACACAATATTTAAGGGCTCTAATTTATTTACAATTAAAATGAAGAAATAATTATATAGAATATTAAACATTTTAGTGACATCAGAACGGCGTTAAAAATTTCAATTTTATGCAGAGAAGAGAGTCTTAGACGGCCTCTGTGATCTAGTGGTCAGAGTTCCTGGCTATAGATACACAGGTTCTGATTTCGAATCCCGGCGCTACCATATTTTCTGAGAAGTAGTGGGTATGGAACGGGGTCCACTCAGCCTCGTGAGGATAATTGAGGAGCTATTTCAAGGAAATAGCGGATCCGGTTTACAAAACCGAGATTAATGTCCGTGAGGATTCGTTGAGCTGATCACGTGACATCCTCTATCCGCAAAAGTTGGCACTAACTTTGCCGAAAAACGGCGATCTTTCGGTCGGTATAGTACGCTTGGGGACTACACTCCATGGAGTTTGTTTGAAGAAAGTCGTATATCTATCTACCTATATATACATAGATATTGTTAAAATAAAAGTTTAAATAGGAACACCACTTCCAAATATGGAACTACTACACATTTTAGTGGTTTTTACCCACCAGATTACAGATAGCGGCATATGAATTGGAATTAATTTAGTTTTCAAAGTATCACATCTGTCTTTCAGAATTGAAAATGTAGTAGTTAAATGCAGCTAGGCTTGTTCTAGCCCCATAATATTGTCTGTAATTTCTTGATTATTTCCGACAAAGAAAACAGTCTCATGGGCGATGCATGTCTTTCACATTAGTCAAGTTCTGAGTAAAGTTGGAATACAGAAACCCACTCCGATTTTTAACGCCAAGTCCAAATTCCAAGGTAAATTCATTAAAATATCCCATGGAAAGGCTTGCAACTTCAAGAATATATACGAACTTTCTAAAATAAATTAATGCATATTTTGCACAAAGTATCTCTCAAGACGAGATTGATAATATAGATACTGAAATATGTTACAAATACATGAATATTCATGAATACAAGCCTACATTCAAATCTTACCTGAAGCTAGAAACACCACTCTACTTTTTTCACTTGATCAAGGCATCTAAGAAACTTCTATAATAAATATAAACGGACCAGTATATATGTGTGTGTATATATATATACATATATGTACATCTGTAAATTCCTTATAATTATATTTCTGTTCAATGCCCAACATTACGGCTTAAGCACCAGAAAAGATACTTGTTTTTTCTCTGTTGATATATTTAAAGAAAAATGATTGATTTAGAAGCTGCCATGTCTTTAAATTTACGCCGTGTTAGACTTTTAATGAAGCAGAAAATTAATTTCGTTTTCCGTAAGATATATTTTTTGGACATCTCCATTTGAAACGTCTCAGTAAGACAGATATTAAACTGAAGAAATAAACAAAGAAAGCTTCTTACGAACTACATATACAGTTCAGACTCTTCTCTCCAGACAAGGCCTTGTAAATTTATATAATGCAATAAAGTATTTTTCAGATTTCGAAGCAATAGTCGTAATTCAGGTCAGGGCTCTTTATTATGAAATACCCTTGAATGACTATTAGATGTTTAATATTTATTTTTTTCTAGAAGTTACAGAAATGAATATTTAGATGTAATTTTGCGATACTGTATACGAAATTTATGAAATAATTAGTACATATTTTCACTCAGCTTGTCAAGTGTTCATTTTTTGGAGTTCTACATAACGCAACATAACTATGTTATTCTATTGCAGGAATTATGTTAACAATGACAAATTTAAATAATATAAATCTTATTTAAGTTATACGATTATGTACTGTTTCTGCGTAAAATAAGCTATGAACAATGGATTATGAGCGAGATTGTTGTACTTTATTTCAGACGTGCATTAAATGGACACATAATGGAAAACTGTGTCCATCCATGTTTTAATTTCCGAAAAAAAGACAATAATTTATTTTTTCAATAATATTCATGTAGACCTACAGTACATATTTTCTGCGAAATTTAGTTTTGGTTTGCATCCATCCAATAAGATTCCTAATTTTCTGAATGTGAAATACAAATTATTTTTTTCTGAAAACATCAAAAGTTGTTAAT